AACTCCTTTTTTCTTGTGTGGCTTACGAATGCATTGTGTACCGCGAATATGGAATATTCCTTACGGGACCCACACCACTGACAATTGCGAAAGCCGCTTGAAAATTGAAACATGAAACCATGCAGCTTTCCCCGCCTCAGATGTGTGATGAGTGGTGACTGAAGGATGATTTTCTAAACCTTGCCCTACGAGTTTACGGGTAGAACCGTATATAATTACGCTTTTAGAGCAATGAACGAGTTGAATTCATTGAAAGTCTGGGTTGTCACTAGGGGTGAGAAAAAGAAAAAGACGAAAAATCGAACATATCGAAATCGAATCGAAAAATTGGTTAAGTGAAGGTATTGGTTCGATTTTGGTTAATCAATATAGAAAACTGGCGGTTGATCAAACCAACTAGTATATATATTTCTATATATTTTATATATATTTATGTATATTATATATTATAAATTAATAAATATGTATTATATATAAATATATATTTACAATATATGATATATTATTTATCGTTTAAAATATAATATTATATATATATATATATATATTATTTTATTTTTATAATATATATTGTAAAAATAAAAAAATCAAAAAACCAATGAACCGAACCGACTGGCTTCCGTTTGGTTTCGGTTATCGGTTTTCCAAATACCAGTAGTACCGGTTCGGTTAAAACAAAAAGCCCCATGGTTCAGTTAATCGGACCGTGAACACCCCTTCTTGCCACTTCACTCCACTTCTGTAGGGCCTGTTTCTTTCCTCTTAGGCTATGTTTGGTTTGAAGGAAAAGGTAGGGAACGGAAGGGAAAGACAGAAAACCAATACAAGGTTTGTAAAGGTTTCCCTACCTTTCCCTTCCTTTCCCTACATTTTCCTTCAAACCAAACATAACATAAACTCTTACCTCTTAAAATGAATCTTGTAATTTGAAGGGGAAAATAGTTGTTCGTTTCCTTTTATTAATTATTAATTATACTAATATTAATTATTAATTAGTATTTAGTAATTAATTATTAATTATTATTCTTACCTCAAGGACCCCACAAGTAAAATAATAATTATTAATTATTAATTACACTAATTATTATTATTTTTTCAAAATTTAATTAATACATATTTTTATAATAATTAATCATTAATCTCTAATAATAATTATTATTACTTAATTAATATTAACTTTTATTTTTAACTAATTATTATAATAATTACTTAATAGTAAATTCATTAGTAATTAAATAATGATTATTATTATTAATATAGTAATTATTATTAATTATTAATTATTATTATAATTAGTAATTATTATTTAAATAAAAAAATATTAATTAAATATTATAATAATTATTATTAGTTAAAATTTATTTTAATTAAATATTATTTATTAACTATTATTTGTAAATAATTATTAACTATTATATTAATTAGTAAGTAATAATTATTATTAATTATTAAATAATAATTATTATAGTTAATTATTATGAAATATTAATTAATTATTAATCGATATAAAAATTATTAATATTATTTTTTATTGAATTACTAAAAATTAATAATTAATTAATAATAACAATAAATATTAATGTTATTAATTATTAATTATTCACTATTGATTTTTTATTAAATATTATAATAAGAATTATTATTTATAAATTAATTTTAATTATTAATTAACTATTAACTATTATACTAATTAATAATTATTATTAATTATTAAATTATAATAATTTTTATAAATAATTATTAATTAACATATATTATTTATGAATAATTATTAGTTTTTATTGATTAATTATTAATCATTATAACAACTTTTAATATTATTTTTTATTGAATTATATAGACAAACAAAAAATCTCATATATGGGGTTAAAATTGACATTTGACAATTTTCAGAATTCATAATTCAAAATTTAGAACAACATTCTTTACATTCAAAGTTCAAAGGAAAGAAAAATTCACCGATACCAATATACCTCTTAATGTAATTTGGACTTTTAGATGTCAGACGTCAAAGCAAACAGACAGGCTTGTAGCCTTAAGCCTATGTTGAACTGATAAAATGACAAAATATAATGAGGGTAATTTTATCAATGAGTTTACAAAAGGGAAAATATATGGTACCGAGAAGACACTGGTATCAGAAGATCTTTGACCAATTAAAGCAACCTATGAATTTTTTATACATAGCACTTGTACATATTTTCAATATGATGTCTTTTCGGTATGACAGTCTAATCCTCTAGTAAAAGATACCCTTTGGGTTGTGTTTTAAAACACTCCCAATAGTTTACCGCCGATTTACTTAAGGATGTTTTGTAGCATAGATGATAAATTGTGTGGTGTGTTTTCATTCATACCTCAATAAGGTAGTTGTTCTGTACCACGGGCAAAGATCTGTCGTTAATTGATTGTCAGTTATATGTTGAAAATGTCAAAACTACCACTCAAAAGAATATATTGTTCATTGTCTTCTACCTTGAGACTGAACCGATTGAGGTGTTTGAGATTCTAGACTAATGAAGTCATTGTCTTCTACCTTTAGATCTGAAACACATTATTGTTTAGTTATTTCTTTGCTTTCAGTTATTGTTTCCCTCTATCATATTTCATGTTTTTTCTCTCTTTTTCTTTGAAGATAACCGGTTCAGTCTCAATGTAGAAGATAATGACCAATTTCTTCTTTTGAAGGGTAGTTTTGACATTTTCAATAGATAACTAATGGTTGGTTAACGACAATGACCAACTTGACACTTTTTGAAGGCTTAGGTACTACAGCGACATGTTTGAAAGTTCGGGTATTAACTTGACACTACCCCCAAGGTTCAGGGTACTAAGGTGGAATCTTCCCATAGTTTTAGTAATATACACAATAAAAAATCAATAAATTACTAATAATTTTAATAAATAATAATAATAATAATATTATTATTATTACTAATATTTAATAATAAATAATATTTTTAATAATAATTAAAAGCAATTATTAATATTCATAAAATTAATATTCAAAACTTAATAATTGATGAAATAATATCAATAATAATTAACAATATTAGCAATAATATTGATATTTATTTAATAATAAAAATATTTTTTTATTAATAAAATAATATTTGAAAATTAATCATTAAGAAAATAGTGTTAACWATAATGAACAATCTTAATAGTAATATTAATAAAGGAGGTCTTGTCCTAGGGTCAAACATCTCATGCTCGATATGGTGTCATTATTCCATAGGTAAAACGATGTAGCATAGATGGTTCCACAAGAAAAATCCATGGACGAGAAAATCGGTTATGGTGTGGACCGATCCACAAGACTGCACATGATGGGACAACCGAATGCAATACATAGATGTGGTGTGGATTGAAATGGTATATATTGTGGCCCATACACACCACCCAAAACCACCTTAGTGAACCTTAGGGGTGGCCACGAGCCGAGCCTTTCACAAGCTATTCGAACTCAATATCGAGATTCGAGCCGAATTCAAGCCCGATATATAGGCCCATTTGCTAATCGAGCTGAGATTGAGCCTAGTGAAGCTCAGTTCTTGGGGCTCGTGAGCCTAGTATTAAATATATATACATACATATAATAAATAATTTTATTATATATAATAATATTTTTATTTTTATGTATAATAGTAAATAATTTTTATAAATATTTTTGTATATATAATATTAAATAATTTTTATAATTCTTAAGTTTTTGTCTAAAAAATAAAAAATAATAATTTTTATTTTTCAAAAAAACTTGGTTTATAGTCAAGCTCGAGCTCGAGCCGAGCTTGAACTTGCGAGGTATGAACCGAGTCATGCTCGAATAGCCAAGTATTTGGCTCGGCTCGGCTCGAATCCACCCCTAATTAACCTTAGATTAAATTGAAGTGAAAAATGATGGTTTTGACCTTAATGTTATTAGGATCAATTTAATCTACAAAAATATATAAATTAAAATATCATTCCTGCCCCTAAGAAAACATAGTCAATAACTCTATTTGATCAATTTTGTTCTTCATATGAAGAAGGAAGACATGTTACAAATGGGATGCAATGTTTTCTCTTATTCATCATTTTGTTGAAAYCAAACATTGGACGGTAGATTTGAAAATTAAATATTGATTGGATTTAAAAGTTCAATATAAAATATTATAGTGTTTGGGTTATGGTTGAGCTAGCCTGGGTGCCACATGTCACGTCCGTGGCCATCTTATCTCTTCGGCCACGTCGACACCACATTAGATGGATAAGCGTGACCAAGGAAGGAGAATTTTGTACGGATCAAGAGGACAACTTCATTGGGGATTAGGTCTTACCTCAAAGACTTCAACAGATAACCTCATCCCGACAATCTTGGAAGCATCATCCAAACATGACACAAATCTTCAACTATAAATAGGTAATTTCCACTCAAGGTAAGGGATTTTTGACTTTCTAGTACCCATACTGTTACTTTGCTCGGACTAGCACTACTCTCTCAATTACTCAACCTGACCACTCATTCTTTTCACCGACTTAAGTGTTAGAGTGCCTATTCGGGAAATAACTCCTCAGGCCTCTGACTCTATTATTGGTTTCAAATCTTATTGCACGACTTCATCCTTCCACCTCTACTTTGTCCAATTGATAGAATCATTTGACTACGACTTCAATTCAAAACACCTTAGATCAAGCAGCATCATACAATATACGGGTACTTTTGAAATTAAATACCATACACCATGCCCTTGAATATTTTCCATTCTTTGTAAATGGTCACATTACCATTCTTAGACAGCAGTATAAAAGATTCTTGATAGAAGTTCGATTTAGTAAATGGTTGCCAATTATAGGGGGAGTTTTAGTAAAACTTAAATTATAAAATAGACGCTACTGAAAAATTAAAATTCCAATTAGGCGCTGCAATTCTAAGCAATTACCTAGGGTATTTCTATAATTTTGTATTTTTGTAACGCCAAGAGGTCTCAGAGCGAGTTGCGTGTCTTGCGTGTATAGAAGAGAAGCCGAGTCGAGAAGAGAGAGAGGGAGAGAGAGTATGTTTGTGTGAAAAAGTGAGGGAAAAAAAGACGGAAACAAAAGAAAAAAAAACACGAAAATCCATCCAAGGGAAATAAAAGGGAGAAATAAGACGAAAACGAAAAAGAAAAACCCTAGTTTTGAAAAAAAGGAAGGGAAAACGATGGAGGAATTACAGAGAGATTGAAGCTAAGAGATGAGAAACCATGGCGAAAAACGACGATAGACAGACGGATACATGGGGTACTTGGGAAGAGCTATTGCTAGCATGTGCCGTTAACCGGCATGGGACCAACAGATGGGACTCTGTCGCCATGGAAATACAGACAAGAAGCTCCACTCTTCATCCCTTAACCGCTCAGAACTGTAAACAGAAATATCATGACCTTAAACGCCGATTCATGGCGAAAGACGATAAAACCGACGACGGAGAAGACGGGTCCGAACCCGACGATAAGAAGGGTGAGATTCCGTGGCTCGAAGAGTTGAGAAAACTCAGAGTCGCTGAGCTTAGACGTGAGGTTCAACGATACGATGTTTCGATCGTGTAAATCTCCGTTTGTTTTTCGGTGCTTTTATTTATTTATTTCGTTTACGTTATATTGCCGAAGATCTGAATTTAAAAGTGGCCTTTTATCTTTCTGTTTTCGGTTGGACGTCAAGGGAAGGGATCTATAGTTTTCGTTAAGATCTGAAAGTTTTCTTTCGGTTTTATTTTTACAGGTCTCTGCAATTGAAAGTGAAAAGGTTGAAAGAAGAGCGCGAGCGGAGCTTGAGAGAGAAAGAGAGCAGTGTAGCGAAATCAGATCTAGAGAAAGATTCGGAACAAGATAGAGCTAAGGAGGAGAAAGGGGAGGTAGATGAGCAGCCGGAAAAATCTTCACCGGAGAACGCCGCCGGAGCACGTGTTTCCGGCGAAGAATCGGACCGCGAAAATCAGTCGTTCAACGAGTCCAATTCAACGGATCCGAAAGCTGAGATTCGCGATAACGGCGTCGGTGAGACGGAGAAGAAACGGGAACCGGTGGAAACGGTTACCGGAGGACCGGATCCGGTTTCAGGCGAGTCGAAACCCGTCGGGGAGGGGTCTTACAACGGGAGTTCGGATACGGTAGCGAAAGAGTCTGCGGCCGCCCCGCCAATCGGGAAGTCGTTGGGAGCGGTTAAGGCCACGGTGGACGGTGACTCGCTCGAGTTATGGGAATCGGTTGCCGAGTCGAAAGGTGGTGGGGAGGAAGGAATGAAGGAAAGCAGCGACGTGCAGAGTTCGGCGAGTTTGTCGAGCAAGAAAAACAGGAAGAAGACGATTTCGGGCAGTAGCAGCGGCGAAGAGCCGGGGACTGAAGAGATTTCTCCCGCCATCAAACGGATTTCTGTTAAATCTCAGCCGTTGGTGGCTATTCTCGAAATTATCCGGTCTCACAAACATGGCTCCATGTTTGAGCGCCGGCTCGATAGTCAGGTATTCCCACGTCGAAAACATCGTCGATTTTTTATTTATTTATTTTTTAATTAAAGAAAAATGAAAATAATATCGAATCCTTTTTGGTTGAGTAACACAGTGCCGTCTTCCTAATATGCCATTTTAGCTCCTGCGGGGCCCACTCAAAGGTTGGATCTAAACAGTTCGACTAAAGCCATCAATTATTATGATGAACGATGGACGGTCTGGAATCCATGATGCATGTCCCACGCAAGAGTTGCCGCCGTACCGTGGCCCGGCTCTTGGCTTTTGTGTTTGTCAACCGATCTACCATGCGGGGCCCGCGCAACCGTTGGATGATTTTCGAAAGAAGGCCATCCAACGGTGGGAGAGCCAAATATTCATTTTTATTTGGTCTCGTTGCTCATGATAGTGGCATGCTCTACGACGTTGTAGTTTTTGCATCAGGTTCTCTTTTGCAAGCTGTAAGGTCAGAAACCATTCATGCGGCAGCTGGGTTGTGGGGCCAGAAGTAGTGGCACTGGATCACTGCCGTCTGATCAAGACATTCGTTTTGTACGGTCCCTATCGGAGAATAATAGGAACAAGGAAAGCGGTCTGCCGGTCTCTGTGGTGCTTCTTGATGGGGCCATAAATCACCCCAAACGGTTCTCATTCATGACAACGTGGCTAATAATTTCAAAAAGAACGGTTTACAAGGAAAGAGGCTTCATTTGGTGGGACCCGGCAGTATCCCCTCCTTGATTTTTTTTTAGCTCTCCAGACCGTCTTTCCGTCTTTCGAAGCAGAATGCTCTCCAACTGATAACGAGTCAAAAACGTAAAATCACCCATAAGCCATAGCCAGGTTTATTTACCTCATAACCCAGCTTATGTGTAAAGTTTGCTATGCGTACTACGCATCCCGTGCGTTTTAGTTGCAGAAGACCTTCCATTTCACGTTTGATTTTTCGTTCCCGCCTGGGCAATAGTTATTATGATAATGTCTGAATGAGGTTCACGCATAAAAGACAAATAATTTACAGATTGTGCCGGAAAACCGCGTAATTGGCCGGAAAACCACATTGCAACTAGCTGCTGATGATTTTTTTCCCGATTTGCAGGATACGGCCAGGTACAGAAACTTGGTCCGGCAACATCTTGATCTTGAAACAGTGAGATCGAGGTTGGAAGAAGGACGATATTCTGGTTGCAGCCGCAAGTTCTTCCGCGATCTTCTTCTCCTCTTTAGCAATGCGATTGTATTCTTCCCCAAGAACTCGTCCGAGTCCTCTGCCGCAATTGCACTTCGAGACGTCGTCAGAAAGGAGATGGCTAAAAGACATCGGAAATTAGATCAGCTCGCAGAGGACCCACCTCCACCACCTCTTCCTGTTTTTCCAGTACCATCCAAAATCGAACCGCCGGATTCAGTGCTTCTTAAACCAAAGCCTGCTGCTCCCATGATTGCCTGCCGTAAACGCAGTTCAATCTCTGCCAAAGCTTCTACTACGACAAGCGTAGATAGGAAAGGGGAGCAACGACCAGTAACAGCAGCGGTCGATGAGAAGGCGGTTGTCGATAGGAAGCAAGCCGATGACTCATCTGCGACTGTGGCCGATGACAAGAAGAAGACGAGAGAACGGCCTACAACGTCGGGTGCTAGGAGCTCAAGAACGGGCAACAACAAGGGCCGTACCAACACGACCTCCGGCAAAAATTCAAACGCGAATGCTGGGCAAAGCACCCCACCCAGCTCGAATCCTGTCTCGACAAGCAAGGGTAATGCAGCTCGTGAAGGCAGTCCTGAGCCCAAAGCTGAGAGGAAGAATAATAACACGGCCGCTGTTGCCAAGAAGCGGAGCGCAACGAATTTCTTGAACAGGATGAAAAAGAGCTCTTCGTCCAACGGGACACTGTTAGAGACGTTGAAGAGCTCCGTAAATAATTCTAACAATAACAAAGGAGGCTCAGGAGGTGGAGCAACCGAGCAAAAGAAAACGAGCGGGAGGAGTGATGGGCGGAAGGATCAGGTTCTCCGACAAGGTTCCGGCGGGAAACAAACTGCAGAGCAGAGCAGTCCAGCGAAAAGGAGTGTCGGGCGCCCGCCGAAGCGGGCCATGGGAACGCCTCCTCTGCCCCCTCCTGCGCCGTCGAAGCGGGTGAGGGAATCTGCGGAAACGGAAGCTGCGGGCTCCAGGCAAGCGAGGAAACGTGCGAGGAGGTGATGGCAATTTCTGTAAATTATGTGGCGATTTAAGTTTTTATTTTGTAACAAAATTTATTTTTATTGCTTTTTTCGCTTCATGTTATAATAATACTACTGTCTTTCTTTTTTTAATGGGGTCGTGTAACCTCTTAAAATCATTAAAATACATTATTCTTGATGAATGATGATAGATTGATAGGTAAGATCGCCTTTGTTAAGCTGTTATTATCAGCATTTTTAAAAACGGACCCGAAGGTTGAACTGTTTTTGCCTCCAAGTTTCGGATCAATGGTTCAATCTTCTGGGTTGGTTGGGTCAGTTCATTATAAGACTTGTATGATCATTTGGCTAGTATTTATAAAACGATGTTCTAGCGTTGTAGATGGGCAGATGGCCTAGACGTATTGAGATTTTGTGTTCTTGTCTTTGTATTTAAAGATAAAAGGACCATTTTGATAAACGGTTTGGTTATATCAGGTTTTTAAAAATGCATACAGGGCCTAGGAAAATACTAGAAAGTTTTATTTGAAGCTTCTTAAAATTTGGTGTTTCTCATACAGTGCCTCACTCCGACCTCACATGCATTAGGAATATTTCCTGTGAATAATAACATATAAGTACAATGGGAGATGTTTTCAATGCATGGTAGGATGTGGGTATGAGGTCGGTGTGAGACACCCTGTGTAAGGAGCAGATACGGCCCTTATTTTCAAATCACATATGCGCCCCACAAATGTCGCACATGCACATCCAAGGTTTTTAAAATCGAATTGGACAATGAACCAATCAGGAGTCCGATTGCCAGGTCAAACGGTCCGATCGTTCAAATCGAATGGATGACCCATTTTGACAAAAAAATAAAAAAAGGTCAAAACCATTGGACAGTTCAGATGGTGTGAATGGTTCGACCGCTTGGGTCAGCGGTCTATTGACCAAAACAATGGTTTTTGGCAAAATGACGGTTCTGAGGTAAAAGGAAACCAGTCACTTGACTGGTTCCTAGTTTTTCCGGTCCATTCCAGTTTTGAAAACCATGTGCACATCTCAGTGTGCATTGTGAATTCTATGCTGTGGGGCGTTTGTTGGAAACCCTCTATGGCGTGCACATGTGAATTTATATGTTTTCTAGTAGCTTTTGATTATCAAATGGGAAAAAAACCAATTTTTGGTCTTCCAAGTTTTCCCAAGCTCCAAAGACCACGCTAAAAGACTTGTCAAACATCATTTTAATATATGGTTCATATTAAATCTAATTTATGTTTATATTTTATTTTTCATAGATAATAAAAATAAAAATTCAAGGCAAAAATGTTTTTTTTTTGACAAAAATAATGTATCAAGTTAGGGCCTTTTGGAAGCTTCAATACATTTTAGTGTGACTGCAACCCTTAGTAATCAAAATCGGGGTGGTGGTTTTACTTTATTGCCTGAATCGAACCGAATCTATTATGTCGATTTCGGTACATGGTTTTGTCCCAATTAATAATCGGGTGGGTTTCGGTTCGTTCATGTTTGTCCCGAACCGATTATTTTATTAAATATATATATTGTTTTTTTTTTATTTTTTTTATTATATTTCGTGTTTGAAGACTGAAATGGTAAATTTTAACATTAATTAAAAATGTTTAATTTATTAACATATAAACAAATAACCAATTTAGTATTTTACTATCATTTTTTATTAAGATTATATGATCAAAATTTATATTCTAAGTTATTATTTAAATAAATAAATAAATATAATTATCAGAATAATCAGGTCCATCAAATAAGATCCGATAGGACTCGACTATTTATCGGGGCAGTTCTGGGTCAGTTCTTTTGCCTCAATTAGACTTGTTCATGGGTCAGATAGCCTGATGGCTCAGCCCGGCTTTCTCTTAGTCAGACTTGGCAGATATTTAGGCCGGAAGGCTTGGGATTGGGCCCAAAACACTTGGCCCAACCTTTTTTGGGTCAGGCTCGGGCTTTCTCAAAAAAGCCAGTTCAAACCTAAGAGCAACCTGACTGAACTTTGGGTTTTATATGAGGATTAGGCTCGGGCTCAGGCTTGAATATATTCTGATGGTATAAAAGCAAAATCCGGCTTATGAACAGGTCTAATCCCAATAAATAATTGGTTTGACACTGATTCTACCAAAAACCGACCCAGACCATATGATAAAAAACTATGATGCCGGAAAGATGTGGTTGTAGAAGAGTTTAATTAATCAAAATCTACATGCGAATTTTAATAGATTTCACATGATTGATCGATAAGTTTATGATACTGGTTGATAAATTTGGATATCATATGTTTTTGGTATCTTAGTTGAATCTTAAATTATTTCTAATTCATTTTGGGGTTGATCTTTCAATTGGAATGGTTTTATTTTTATTTATTGAGTAAAAGACTTAAACCTTCCTTCATTTTTCTCATAAATACTGAAACCTTCCCTTGTTTTCCAAATTGAACTAACACTCCTTTGTTAGGTGATCTCGTTAGACAAAGACCTCCCCTCTGTTAACAATCAATTTGCCCCTTTGTGTTCCTTCGACCATGACAGACGAAGTAGTGAGAAAAAGCATACAAGTATCATTCATTTAAGCTGATTTTTCAAGTCAAATTTGTTTTCTCGAAAGTGAGAGATGAGAGAATTGAGAGTAGATAAGATTCAAAAGGGTACTCTGTCTCAAAATCCTAGAAATTATTGTTTCCTTTCTCAAATAAGGAAGGCAATTTAGCATTAATTACAAAACCTTAAAAAACCAAATTGTGAAAAAGATATTCATAGACCAAGGGTCCAAGATGAAGGAAGTTTTAGAAATGGTAACTAACTACCTCTAGTTGTGAGTTATTGTTAACCGCTGACCCAGGCAGTCGAATTGCTAAACCATTCGACCCGGGCAGCGGTTTGCAGGTTATCATTTTTATTTTTTCTGATTTAAATAAAATCAAAAAATAAAATAACCCCCATATCCCCGATCCCAAATCTTATGAATGTTTAGGGTTAGAACCCCACTTCCGTTCTAACCCTTCCCTCCTCTCATCCCTCACACCCAACCGACCGACGGTGATTCACATTTACCGACAACGATTCACGGTGACCGGCAACGGTGGTGAGCTTCATCTACGACGGCCAGCGTTGATTTTGCAGCACTTCCAGGCTCCAACAGTAACAGTTGCGGTAATAACAGGTATGGCGGCCGGCGATTTTGCAGCAGCAATCACCTACGACCAAGCCCGGACCCACTAGCGGCGAGCCCACTGTAACACCACCATTACGGGCAGTGAAACCGTGAAGGACCTGAAGGTATAAAATGCTTACTTCTTTGAATTTTTTTGCTTAATTCTTTGTTTAATTAACTTTGCTTAATTATTTTTTTCTAAATTCTTTGCTTAATTATTTACAGAGATTCACATACTCACATTGGCTTAATTAATTTTGCTTTATTAATTTTTTTTTTTCAATTCCCTGTTTATTTGCTACGTGAATGATGATGATGATCAGATGATGTCAAAGAATGATAAAATCTCTTTTTTTTTGGATTTTTTTAATTTTCTGCAAGCAATTTTCTACAAACTCAATATGATAAAATTGCTGAAAGTTTTGCTTAATTTTCATATGCAGATTTTCTGCTGAAAGTTTTGCTTAATTTTTCCTGTATTTATTTGCAAATTTCTGTTTTTTTTTTTCTGTATTTTGTTTGTATTTGTTTTCAATTTTCTGTATTTATTTGCACTTTTTAGTTTTATTTTTCTGTATTTATTTGCAATTTTCTGTTTTATTTTCCTGTATTTATTTACACTTTTTTGTTTTATTTTTCTGTTTTTGTTTCTGCATTTGTTTCTGTATTTATTTGCAATTTCCTGTTTTATTTTTCTGTATTTATTTCTATTTATTTGCAATTTCCTGTGTTTTTTCTAGTTTTTACAATTTTCTGTGTTTTTATGTAGTTTTTTGGATTTTTTTGTATTTTCTGCACATGTATGAGTATGACCAAATACATCCTAATTTATCTTTATTTTTTCTGTATTTTTTGGTGTTTTTTCTTTATTTTTTAGAATGTTTCTGTACTTTTTTGTATTTTCTATTTGTTATGTACTTTGTTATTTTTGTATTTAGATAGTTCTATTTTCTGTTTTTTTTTTTTATATTTTGTGTTCTTTTCTATATTTTTGAGAAATTTTTTGTATTTTATTTTTATATTTTCTACTGTATTATTTTTGTATCTAGATAGTTTATTTTCTGTATTTTTTCTTTTTTATTTAATTTAATGCTATTTTTATTATTGATAAATATATTTTAATTTTTAATTTATTTATGATGTCACGGGTCGAACCATTCGACCCGGACGGTTGAACCGCTTAACCGGAAACTGGTCCCCTGACCAGTTCTATTTCTGGTTCGTTTTTAAAAACCTTGGGTATACGAGACTTTTTAATGATTCCGTTAGATTTAACTTTGAGAGGGGAGGTCTCAGTCCAAATTAAAAAGAGAGGGGAAGTGTTAGTATTTAAGAGAAATATGAAATTTAAGTCTTTTACCCTTATTTAGTTTTCCAAATTGCCACATCAGCAACAAAATAAAAGAATGTTCATAGGACTATATTTTTATTTTGAGAAACAAAACAAGTTGCTTTTGTTCGTTCTAGGAAACAGTTTTTCATTTTGTTTTTTGTTTTTACAAAATGAAGACAAATGTGAGAGTACAGAAGCTGTACCATTTATGAAAGATGATGAGTTACGTTATATTGTATCATGAAAAATAAAACATATTTTTCATTGAAATAAGAAATTTAAGAGCTTTTCTTCGTTTCAGTTTTAGAAACAAAAAACACATTAATAACCAACAACATGTTTTTCTGTTTTTGTTTAAGAGATGATTTGATACATACAATAATTTACTCTACTGATATACAAAATAAAGAATAACAGAATCAAGCCATTGCTTTTGGTTGGGAATAATAAAAATATTCCCCAGTACAAACCAAATATCATCGGGAGCGTGGAATGTGGGAATAACTATCTTGAGTCCTTGACCAACGTAAAAATCTTCAGCAAAAAATAGTTATATAACTATGTACAATTTATATTAATAACATATAATATATTATGGAATGTCCCATATACTGCCAGGTGGCAATTAGGATCGCAAATGGACCACTTTTAAATGGCCGAATAAT